CACCTACTATTCTACAGTAGGTCCAAATTTAAATGACAACTTATAAATGGTAGATAAATTTTAGGACCCTAAATTAATAGAGTAGATATGTAAAAAATGACATTTTAAAGTTTAATTTAACATTTTATTTAAAAAAAAAACAGGGAAAGTTTGAAGAAACATTAAAAGAACTGAAATTGACTAAATATTAAATATTTACTTTAAAATCATGAAGATAAATCATACTATATATAATGAAGACTTCATAATATAGTTTATTTTTATTTTTATTTTGAATAACCCAGTGTATCCTGACACCCACCAAAATGGATCCAGACTAGCGGTGAGTGTCCGTATCAGCCTACGTTATCAATCGGAGACGCATCATCACCAAAAGCTGGGAGAGCCGAGATTTTAAATTTTACCCCTAGTGGCCAGTGAAATTCGAACCCGAATCTGTATTGAGGCCGGAACTCCCTCAAACTCCCTTCATAATATATTTTAAAGGTTTTGGATATGCTATAATGTATCAGAAATATAAAAATATCCAATCACAGACGACATGTTAAGCTGAATTAGATTCAGACTCAGTTAAATTAAACGAGTCCACCTTTTGACCATAATATTTCAAATTTTTTGTGAGTTGATTTGTTTTGATAGTACAAAGCGATAAAAATGCTACTAGCTGTGGGTGTTTTGTACATTTTAGACAAATAAATTATTATGAACATCGAAAAAACTCTCTTTCTTTTTAGAAAGAGAAAATTTCTGTAACTCTTGTTCACCAATTCTTATCTTTCACAAGGGTTAGAGATCAATTTTTTCGTATTTTGGTGTTTGATTTTTGAATCGATTTTTTAATTCGCTTTGGCGATTTTCTCTTTTCACTTTGGCGACTTTCTCTTTTCGCTTTGGCGAATTTTTCTTTTCGCATATGCGATTTAATTTGTTGTGTAATGTTCATCCAAATCAGATCTATCTTTCAATTTTTTTCGATTATTCTGATTTGGATTGAACATAAATAAAGGTTCCAGCTTGACTGGATTTGTTTGCTTGTAATTTTTTCCCCTTTCACAAATAATTGAGATCCCGTGTCGTTTGAGTTGGTTCTTCTTCTTTACTGATTATGCACATATTCCTTTCATAAAGGAGTCAATCTTCACTCATCCTTGATTGGATCCGAGATTGGTATTAGAGTGAAGTATCCTCGAAGGAAAAGAAGATTGTGATGATGATTTTACCGTGGTTGATGGAAGGAGGATCCAGTAGATTCGGCATCGCTGATGGTCCGATAAAAAATCCTCACTAAATTAGTTGAGTTTCTTCTCTGTTTTACTAATTGGTGTGGTAGGAGTTCTGGATTTAAACAGAGGCTATAGTGAAAGATTGGAGGACAAGGAGTACTAAGAGAAGGCTTTGTAGCGAAGAAGATGATATTAGACGGTGGTTGGATGATAAGAACTGCCGGCGGTAGAAGGCTCCGATTTGCATGCTTCAGTGAAGCCACGTAGCTTGTTCTTTTTTTCTAGCGCTTAAACGTGTAACATACTTTGTTAATGTCTTGTACTCTTTTGCTTTCGGGTAGGCCTGGGCATTTTAACCTGGACCTGAAGACCCGGCCCGGAAGCGACTCGAAATCGCAGGTTCGAGTACAGGTTCGGGTATATAGAAATTAACATGTTGGATATTTATATGTGGACCTGTGGGTACAGGTTTGGGTGAGGGTAATACCCGATACCCGAACGTGTATTTTTGTAACCTGCAAAAATATGAGTCGCGTGTTTCCAAAACTTCAAGTCTTCGACCTCCTCGGTATCTCATCTAGCCGTTTCCACTCCCCCAAACAGCCTTCAATATCATTTACAAAAGCGAAATCACTCATCAATCAAACTGGAAACCCTCAATCAAACTCATCTAGTTTATTCTTCTCCTCTTTCTGAGACTTCTCGAAATCATTCTGTGGTAACTGCCAAATCTCCACATTTTGTCATTGATTATGGATTGGTTTCGTTTTTGATTGATTATTATTCACTTAGTTTAGTTTGATTGTTTTATAATTATGTTCTTGTTTTTTATTATGATTTCGTTTTTGATTTTGTTTTTTCATGAATGCAGATGGCCTCTTGCGATAATCCGGTTGAAAGAGAAAACCCAATGCGTAATGGAGATGGTGATTCTGATGGAAGTGATGATGATGCTAAAACGCCTATTCCTCGTAAACATAAGGAAACATATGGTGGTGGAAGTGCTTCAAAATCCAATCCAAAATCAAAAATGAAAACAAGGTCTTTGGTATGGGATCACTTTACGAGACTGCAAGAGGATAAGGACAAAGCGAAGTGTAACTATTGTGGGAGGGATATGGTTTGTCCAACGAGCTCAGGGACATCAAAATTGAAGAAGCATTTAGATTTTGTTTGCAAGGCTTATCAGGCATGGGAAGCTGCAAACAAATTGAAGAAGCAGACTAATTTAGATCAAGATGGTGGGGATGGCAGTATTGGGATCTCAAATTTCTAAAGAAGTTTTTAGGGAAGCTACTAATGAGATGATGATCTTGGGAGAATTGCCATTAGTTTGGGTTGAGGGTTTAGCATGGAAATACTTCTGCAACAAAATCAAACTGCACAAGCCTCATTCTAGGAGAACAACTACCAGAGATATTGTTGAGATGTATGTGAAAAAGAAAGCTGCAATGAAGAAGATTCTTGGTAATAATAAGCAGACATATGGAAAGCACCTATACATGAGCTAGTTATATGGTTATAACAGCTCATTTTGTTGATTCCTAGTGACAGTTAAAGGAAAATGATAATTGGGATCAAGAATGTGTATGATCACAAAGGTGCATCCATTTGCAAGGCTCTTATTAAATGTTTAGCAGAATGGGAGATTAAGCGAGTGTTCTCAATAACTGTTAATAATGCCACAGCCAACAGTTCCGCCTTGAGGAGATTCAAAGAAGAATTCGTTGAGAATGGAGATGATGCAATGGTTCTTAATGGTCGTTATCTACATGTGAGGTGTGCTACTCACATACTCAACTAGATCGTCAAAGATGGACTGATGGAGATAGACAACAATATCAATGCTATTCGAAATGGCATCTACTTTGTGAGGTCTTCAACACCTAGACATGTATCGTTTGTGAAACGACTAGAATCCGGAAAAATTCATAGAGGGAGGTTGCCTTTGGATGTAACCACAAGGTGGAATTCAACTTATCTCATGCTAGAACAAGCTCTGAAGTTCAAGGTTGGTTTTGAGAAAATGGAGGCTGAAGATAAACCATATAATGACTACTTTGGTGAATCTGTGGATGGAAAAAAACGCATTGGGCTACCAAGTAAAGAAGATTGGAAAGCTGTCAACAGGTTAGTCCAATTCTTGATCATTTTCTAGAAGGCTACTTTGACGCTTTCTACTTCTACAAGTGTGTGTTTTCACAAACTATACCATGCTATAGTCACTGTGCAAAGTAACATTACTGCTTTGAGTAAGCGCCTGGTCCTGATGCAGTTTTAAGGTCTAAAGCTACAACCATGTTAGAGAAATTAGGAAAGTATTAGAATCCATTTGGGGAGAAATTTGAGATGAATACTTGTAATTGTTGCTGGTGTTTTCGATCCAAGTAAGAAGATGAAGATTACCATTAAGTTATTTGAGAAACTTTATGGTGAAGGCAGTATTCAAGTTACTCTTCTAACCAATGAGACTGAAGACATTTTGAGAAGCTTGTTTGATGAGTACAACAAGGGTGTTGCAGCTAGTGTAGAATCGAATCATACTCTTTCTCACGGTGCTTCTTCTCAGTCCCAATAACAATTTGGTGAAGAAATATCTCAAAGAACGGTTCTTGGTAATGGTCTTGCTTATGAGAGCATGAATGACATATACAATAAGCTTATCGAAGACACATGTTTTCAAGAAAAAACAGATGAGCTGGATCTATATTTGAAAGAGAATATGAAGAATCCAAATATAATGGCAGGTCAAGAGTATGATCTTCTTTCTTAGTGGAGATTGAATAGTGCTAAATATCCGGTTCTTTCTCTTGTAGCTAAAGATATACTTGCTATGCAAGTGTCTTCAGTTGCATCTGAATCATCCTTTAGTACAAGTGGTCGAGCTTTAGAAGCAAGTAGAAGTTGTTTGACCCATTACATGATTGAAGTGCTTTTGTGTACTGAGCAATGGTTGAAATCTAAGATTAAAATCAATGAAAAATGTGCCATAAAAAAAGAACAGCTTCTTAAGGAGATAGAGGAGGAAGATGATCTTATGAGAGGTATTCTTAATTCTTTAAGTTTATGCCTTGTGACTTGTGTTTTTACTTTATTTTTTTAGTTCACTGCTATGCTAAATTTCACTTATGTCATATATATTTTAGAATTTGAACCTGCATTTAGAAATCTCTGATTCGAGCTTGGGAGGTTCTGCAAGTTCTCGTCATTGAAGGTTTGAAGGTTAGTGTCTTTAATGACTTGTTCTCGCTCTCGTCTCAAATTTCTTGTTTCTTTTGACTTGTTAAGTGTCTTATGAATTATGAAACATGACTTGTTCAGTGTCTTAGTGACTTGGTGTAATTGTTATTGTGTTATTAGGCATAGAGTGTGGAACAAATGAACTTGGTGAAGCGTGCAACATGATTTGTGGTTCAGTTTGAGTGACTAGCTCTCTTATTTTGTTTTATTTTAGGAGTAGGACTGAAGTAGCATCGAAACTTATAGTATTTAGTATTTCTGAATTTGAATTGCTTGCAAAAACTTATGAGTTTGTTATGGTTAAACGTTTTATGTTGGTTTTTAATATTTTGAGCATGTTTCTTATAGAAATGCAAGTCCAATTTTTGGGTATCAGGTTAAATTTTACCTGAATTATTACAAATCGACTCGAAAATAGTAGAACCGAACCGAAAAAATAACCGAAAATAACCGAAAAACTTGGAACCGAACTCAAAAATTGTAGTATCCGAATTTTACAGGTTTTAACAAGTTTTCATATTTCATACCCAAATCGACCTGGACCCGGTAGGAACCGCCCTAGAACCCAAACAAAAAAAATTGAAGTATCCATTGGATTAAATTTCCTAGACCCGAAAAACTCGGACCGAGAAGAACCGACCCGAACGCCCAGACTTATTTTCGGGCTTATGAAAAGCAAAGACACAAAAAAAAATGAAAGGAAAAGACAAATAAATTATTAATTTTCGATGATACAAAACAAAACGAAAACAATTAATTACGGTCCTCAGTTCGTGCAAAGTCTTCGACCGTGTGCCCAACCTTCTCGAACTTCCCTTTCTCATTACTCTCCCGGAACCTTAAATAATCCCCACATTTAAATGATCGAAATACCCTCCCACCTTTACCACCTTCCACAACTTCGTCAGGGGCAAACACGACTTTCTGATCGTCAAAGCACCAGAAGAAAGCGAGGGAAAATCTGTTACCGACGGAACTATGTCGTTTCAATACAACCCTGTGTTGGGACGATCTCAGCTGTCCGTTGGTCCAAGCGTGTAATAAATCTCCGACGTTGACGACTAAAGCCTGGTCTTTAGGGTTAATATCCATGAGACCAATCCCGTCTCTGGTTCTAACTTGAAGACCTCCAATATCGTCTTGATCAACGATAGTGATGCAGCTCATGTCAGTGTGCATTCCTAGCCCTTCTAACAAATCAACATCGTCTTCTTGATGATCTTGTTCTAAGGGGATTGTGTAGTTGTTGATCCTGAAGTAGCCATGACAGTTTCCAAACTCAGACTCGTAATATTTGTGATGAAGATTGTCTCCGAAGCTAGAGAGTATGTCTTTCATGATTTTCTCGCATAGTTCCGTCATTCTTTTTCCATATTCTTTCATCAACTCGCTTTAAAAAAAAAAAAATAATAATGATAACAAAAACGATTAGGAAATGCAAATCAAATTAATCACAAATTGGGTGTTGTTGTCAAGATTTAATAATCTTTTAACTTTTTGATAAATCAAAGCATCACAGCATCCAATTTTCACCTCCTTTTGTATTTTATGTAATATACAAAGACAAAAGGAATATATTAGTGCTTGCATTAAATGCTTAAAAAGAACTCAAATATACAATGCGCACTTAACAAATAAAAGAGTAACTAATACATTTGGAATCAGATCTTATTATCACGAAATCGCTCTATCGTTTATTAGTTGATGCAATTTAGCACCAACAACGAATTGAAATAATGGTTTAAACCTTAAACTACTTAATATGGATTTTCGACATTACATGTTCAAATTCTGTTGGAATATATTTACTTTCCAAAGAAAACTTAATTTCGTAGTTTTGGCTCTGCCTTAAACGGATGTACGACCTATAAATCATAATTTCCTAGTCATTGAAAAACAAATACTGTGGTGCAATTCGTTCTTATGATAACCGTGAATTGATGTTTTGATTTAAAAAAAAAAAAATCTGCATGAACATCTAGTATACACTAAGCTATATAAATGTATAAACACTTTAACAAACACTAGAAATAACAATTTGTTCCTTGGCAGTTCTTAAAAATGATACACAAATATGAGCACTAACAAAAGGTGGACGGCATGTAAATTGGTTGAGAAGGCTGCTTAATCATGGTTTCTACAATTTTCAAAACTTGAAAGACTTTTTTTATTCAACTCAATAAATGACATCGTTTTAAGGGTTGTCAAAGAAAATGTCAACAAGCATCTGCAGGTTTTCTATATACACATGTAATATATGTAATGTATATGTATGCATACCTAAACTCCTCATCGGTAGCTTGGTCGGCAAAAGCATCAAGGGAAGACTTGGCCGAGGCGTAGTAATCGGGACCGGAGACACGGAGGCTCTCAAAGAAAGGAGAAGCAATGAAACGAGGGGTGTAATTAGACGCTCCCATCTTCATTTTCTCCTCGTCTCCGAGCCCAAAAACTCCACTGGAGAATCGCCGGAGTTTCTGGTACATATCGCCGGAGATGCCATGGTTTGTCACGTAGAAGAAACCCCACTCCTTACAAGCATCTTGTAGTGAAGTCAGAGATGACTCGTTTAGAGGCTTTGAGATGTCAAACACTGGAAGTTCCACAGACATCAGTTACCTGAAATAATGATTATGATTGATGTATGGTAATGAATGTGTTTTATATTTGTTGCTTCTTTATATTGTGATACTACTTAGTTTCGTTTGGTGCTTCAAATAGGTTTTATTTGCGTGTATATATATGTGTGTAGAGGTAGCTGGTTGATTAGAAGATATACTTTTCTGTATGAGTTTATAATATTATTTCCACTATACAATTCTTATATATTATGGTTGAACTCTTACATATAAATCTAGTTTATATTTCGTATAATAGTCAGAAACTCTTGATGCTGATTAATCTTTGTCGTCGTTGCAATAATTAAAACCAACATACAGTAACATCTTTTTGCTCTAACTATTTCTACATTTTAAGATGTTTGCAATAATTAAAACCCACAAAACACCTTTTTGCTCTAACTATTTCTACATTTTAAGATGTTTGGTCCTAAAGAGGATTGCGAATGGTGAGATTCTTTTTTGACTATTTTAGTGGGTTATTTATCGCTAAATTTAGGGGATAAACATTACAATAATTTTTAAAATGGTTAGGCACTGCTTGCGTGAGAAAATGAGAATCCATCACCACCGTAGAACATGTAGGTGTTAAGTTAAAAAAAAAAAAAAAAAAAAAAAAAAAAAAAAAAAA